AACTCTTACTTCTGATCTTTCTTGGAAACCTTATATCAAATTCGTTGCAAAATTAGCATCTGTTAAAGTTGCTTCTATTCTCTATCTGGATTCTATTCTCTATCTCTATAAATCTCAAATCCAGCCTTGTATGGAATACTGTTGCCATATCTGGGGCGGATCTTCTAATGATGCTCTTTCTCTTTTAGACAAGGTGCAAAAACGCATTGTAAACATAGTTGGACCTGCTCTTGCAGCCAACCTTCAACCTCTGTCACATCGCCGTAATGTTGCTTCGCTTTCTCTTTTCTACAAAAACTATAATGGGCACTGCTCTAAAGAGCTAGCGTCTCTTGTACCATCTACTAAAATTCACTCTCGTGACTCTCGTCATTCAATTAAGTTTCAATTAAGTCTCATCCTTTTTCTGTTACTGTTCCTAAGTGCTCCAAAAACTCTTATTTGTCTAGTTTTTTTCCTCGAACATCAGTTCAATGGAATTCGCTTCCTTCATTTTGCTTTCCTGATTCATATAATTTGCAATCTTTTAAGTTGTCTGTCAATTGTTATCTTGCTCTACAATCTTCATCTTTTCTCTTCCAGTAACTTTCAACACTAATTAGTGGTTGCTTGCAGCCTTGTTGGAAGCGAAGATGTTTAAAAAAAAAAAAAAAAAACTAAAAATAAAATCAGTATATATAGTTTTAAAATACATTGCAAAATACAACACAAACATTATGCTATGAACCTGAAACTATCAATGGTGTCTTTATTGGTTTTGTCCATAGAGTAATACACTTGTGAGCATTAAATAACATTGATGATGAGTTGTTGTTTCTTATTTATGTATTTGTAGAAAATGGCTATAAAAAAAAGTCTGGAAAATCTAAAGTCTACAAAAGAAAGTAAAAGAAGAACAAAAAGAAACTAACAAAAAAGCAATATTTCTTAACTATTTGTGTATTTAACCTAGATCATGGAATCAATTCTAATTTAAGAAGAGTGTTTAGAAAAGCAGAATACGCACCAGTATTTAAATCTAAAAAAAACCTCCAAACTCTACTTAGTTCCAAAAACAAACCTACACTACCAGTTAATTCATATCTGAGTTTATAAACTAGAGTGCCCTGTGTGGCAAATATGGTGAAACAGGAATAAAGATATCAACTCTGATATGCCAATATCTGCACAACAAGGTAAAAGGAAAAATTCAACAGAATATTTCAAAATTTGTCAGGGAAATTTCCACTGGAATGATCGCAATACTTTAAAAATAGAAATAAATATTTTTAACAGGAAAATTAGCAAAGCATTGGAAATACAACACAATGAAAGTACCTTTCGCCACAATGGTCTTAACTGAAATGATGGTGATTATGTGAAAACATCACATAACTGGGATGATGGCAATAATGTGAAGATGCCACATAACTGGGATGATGGCAATTATGTGAAGACATCATTTTGGAAACCCATATTCCACTACTTACTTCATAAAAAACTCTTATTAAATTCTTAAAAAAGATGCTCTTACAAATAACATTGTTTTGTAAATTTAAACAATTTTGTAAAACAAAGCGGTTTTAGTTATTGTAATGGTTTTTAATATACTTGACAACGAGGGTATTAATATTCCATCAAAGTATAAGAAATAAATCCATGAAAAGAAGTATCATTTTAAATTATTTATACAATTAAGCTATATTGAAGATGTCAAAATTTGAAATTTTCAAAATTATTTTAATCGAATTAAAATAGGGAAATCTTTTGAGGAATTGTGTTTTAAACCAATGATATTAAATCATACCTTCAATCCCAGAGGAATGAAAAACCTACCTTGAACCCTAGAGCAAATTAAAAAGTCCTACCTACAAGTCTTCTTGTAAACGAATAAAAACAGCTGAATGACAAAAGATTTGTTTGAAAATTTAAAAATTTTTGAAAGTGTTTGAAAGTTTAAAAAATATTTTATTCCAAAAGTAAAAAAGTTTTGAAAAACAAAATTTGAGTTTTAAAGTTTTTTTGCTTAGTAGGTCAAAACAGAGAGTTAAATCATCTTAAAGTAAAAATTTTACTTACTTTTTACTTTTTGTATATTCTAAATTTTATATCATTGATATAATTATTAATTAATTATTCTATCAAGAAATCATTTAAGACATTAAAGACATTCATTTTCATAGAATTGCTGTATGTATGTAGTATGCAGTATATACTATATTCATCAGGAAAATAATAACAAATTAAACTTACTCAGGTTGAAAAAAACATTATTTTAGATTGTTTTACAATTATATATTTAGCTTGCAAGGAATTAAAATAGTTTCCACTTTATGCATGTAATCTTTCTTACTGCGAATGGTTTAAAGAAAAAGCATTGTTCCATTTGATTTAAGCAGATTGCAACAGAATAATATTAGATACTTCTAAAGGTACAACTTTTCATAAATGAATATTAATGATGTACAGAAACTATTTGAAGAACAAACTTTTAATGAGTAAAAGCTAAATGAGCAACATAATATCTTACAATTAGGGGTCCACCATAAAGTACGTACACTTTTTTTTTTGTCCAACCCGCCCGCTTCCCCCCGCATTATGCAATAGAGTACCCTCCTAAAAGTACCTACACTTTTAAACTGTTTATCTAATATTATATGATACTTTTTTAAATTTAGTGTCTTCTTTCTTTTATAATTGACCCTATCTTATATATGCCATTTGCAGATCCCCTCTTCCCCTTATAACAAAGATTGAAAAAATGTTATTGCAGTTTGTTATTTGTTGTTTGTTTAAATCTAATTGATCTGCAAGAAGTAACAGCTTTAGCTAAAAAATATTTAAAAAATTTATTTTAAAAAGTATCCCTCATTAGTAAATAGTGGGAAACTTAAAAGAGCTACAAATTCTCTAGCACCTTACAGAACATTATTAATAATTTGTGACAAGAAGTTTAAATCAAATTTAGAATAAAAAAAAACTAATTGGCTGTTATTTCTGATGAGACTAAATCTTTTATTAAATGTAATTTTTGATAAATTTCTTTTTAATTTGTGTATTTAATCATGTTATACTTCAAACTTTTGCTTTTGATTAAAAACTTTAAGTTAAACTTTTTATGTGCATTTCTTATGAAATGAAATCTCAGCTTTTAACAAATTTTACAGTTTAAAAATTGTTTTCAATGAAACATGATTTATTTTGCTTAAATTTATACTACTTCGAATTTTTATTTTGGAACAAAACCTAAAACATGAAGTTTTATTTTGGAACAAAACCTAAAACATGAAGTTTTAATTTGGAACAAAACCTAAAACCTTATTAACTTAATATTGTCTTAAAAAATCTAAACTTAAAGATTTTTCAATCTCTGTATAGTATTTACACAATATTATTCAAATATGTTTACGCCAAATTTTTTTAAATATATTATTAATTACTAATACAAATGAAAGCATATCATCCATAAAACAAAATATTAAATTAGATAATAATTATGAATGACATCCACACAAGTATTACATTATAAAGTGACAAGATTATTGATTGTATTTATGTTAGTTAGCTGTCATTGTTGTATTATATTGTAAGTATAGTAAATATCTTCTCCTTGTTGATTGTTTGTTGTTATTATATGTATCCAAAATGTTATTATTATTGTCAACAATCATAGTAGTTTGCATTATTTGTCATTAATATATTATAATGTAGACTATTTTAATTATAAGTTTAAAATTATATCATTAATCATTATCACAACTTCATTTAGAAAGCTTTATAACCTCTATAAATTTGTTTAAAAAAGTACATAAAATCGTCATTGATTAATCTATAATCAACTTTGTCTGTCATGCGGTAAGAAAAACCCTTTTACCTTTTGAGAATAATAGCAATATAAATATTTACTTGGTATGTTATTATTAGAAAATTTTATTTGTTTGCAAGCCTGTAACTAGACTACATATCTTCAAATGTTAGAGCTATGGTTTAAAGAAAAACTATGGCTGCACTAACAGCAGGTCTAACGGTGGTATCTGTCTGTGGTTTCATCAAATTTTTAGAAATGACATTTTGTATCTGGCTTATCCACATTATTTTGTGGAGCTTCTCCTAGGAGCAGTTTTCTCCACATTAGTTCTGAAGGTACCAGCAATCCTCAATATTAACATTTTTATTCAATTTAAAGAGTTCTGGCCTTTGTGGTCATAACAAACTACTGGACATAATATCCATAAACTATGACCACTGATATCCTCAATTTCTAAAGATGATTCTGAGAGAACTGATAAAGGATCTATGATCCTCAGTTTTCTCAGCATCAACTACAAAGACACTCTCCCATATGACACAAATAGACAGCCTTAAAAACCTGACTGACTTTTGCATTTTTCTTATAAAACACTATGCTTACGCCTCTGGGTATTCAGCCATCAGATGTGGAAAATCAGTGCTCTCTATCATATATATATATATATATATATATATATATATATATATATATATATATATATATATATATATATATATATATATATATATATATATATATATATATATATATATATATATATATATATATATATATATATATATATATATATATATATATATATATATATATATATATATACATATATATATATATATATATATATTCAGCCATCAGATGTGGAAAATCAGTGCTCTCTATCATATATATATATATATATATATATATATATATATATATATATATATATATATATATATATATATATATATATATATATATATATATATATATACAGATAGATAGATAAATATAGATGTATATATGTAGATAGAGAGAGAAAGATATAGCTATATATATATATATATACATATATATATATATATATATATATATATATATATATATATATATATATATATATATATATATATATATATATATATATATATATATATATATATACAATAATAAAAAGTTTTTTAGATCTGTAACATTAAATTAAAAAAAATAACTTTATCTTAAAATTTACCTCTAAGTCTTTCAAACCGAGATTAGTAAGTTTTGATAACTTTCCCATATTTGCTGGTAACGAATTTATATCAACATTTTGACTAATGTCAAGAGTTTCTAAACATTTCAGGTTACATATACTTTCAGGAACCTTTTTTAATTTATTATTTGCTAAATATAAGTGTTTTAATTTAAGTTCTTCAACATGCGATGGAAAACCTTCTAATAAATTTTTATCAAGAGCTAATGTTGTAAGAAATGGTGACCATTCTTTAATATCAGGGAGGTATCTCAATTGATTTGATGAAAGATTTAGACTGTAAAGCTTGGGAAGTCTAAATAATTCTAAGGGAACCTCTTGTAATTTATTTGAACTAAGATTTAACTTTTCAACAGCATTAAGATAACTCATAATAGCAGTTGAGGATATACTTTTAATTTCATTATGAGAAAGAATAACATCTTTATAGTTTGTTAAACTTTTAAACCAATCTTCATGAAGAAAACGTAGCAAAAGCCCTCCCCAATCAGCTTTAAGATTTTCCTTATCACAAAAAATGTTCCATAATATATATTTAACACCTTTATAATTTTTCACCATAGAATTACATCCAATGCATACTGGGTAAGCCAATTCTTGGTCCTTGCTTATAAATGATCTTTAAAAAAAAGAAAAAGGTTTTATATATATTTTAAAACTATAATAATATTTTTTATACAAAAAATAATAATCTATAAAGATAAGGATAACAAAACACTTATAAATAAACAAATTGTTTACACAACTGGGCTCATAGTAGTCGGAGTAAAATTTTACAAATGCAATTTATTGCATTCATTAAATAATTAGTATATCAAATAATTAGTACATATAGATAGGCAAAATAAAGCAATCAACTCATAGTTCAATGAACTAAAAAATCTTCTTAATAACAAGAACTAGAAGAAGACGTCTTCTTAGGAACTAGAAGAAGTCTTAAAAGTTTAACTATTACTCAAAATGTAAACTTAAAAGCAAGAACTATTACTCAAAATGTAAACTTAAACGAAAGTAGACTTTCATTTGATCCCTTTCCTAATAATTGGAACATGTAATTGTGCATTTCTATATTGCATCTTCAAAAAATTTAAATTGCATACAAACATATAATAAATGAAATTTTAAGGCACATAACTATGCATCTTAAAGTAAATATAAATATAAAAATATCAATATATAACTTTATAAATTATGAAACAAAATAAATAAATTGAATTAAAATAAATTGAATTAAAATAATTTGAATCAAAAATCAAAAAGCCTGATAAAAAAACACAAGATAAAAAATATCAGATAAAAAATATTAAATAAAAGAATATTAGATCAAGAAGATCACATTTAAATATTGTTTTTTTTTAGCTGATTACTCCGGTATATTGAAGCTTTTTTCAAATAATAGATACACAAGATGCAGTTTTAACTATTAATGCTTTAAGTTATCTTGCTGAACAAAAAACTAATAAAGAATACAAACAGCAACAACAAAAGGAGGTTTATAAAATCTGAATGCATATCTCATGATCTTTATTAATTATTTCACAATGTGTAAGGCATAATTAGAAACATTAACTGAACTCCGGATATTCATATCTAATTTTGTTGTTATTTTTAGGGGACAAAAAAGGAACTGAATACTATTGGTAGCTTTTAAATTTTTTATACATTATATAAACTCTCATATGTACATTTATTTGTAAATTTCTTGTTGCAATTTATGGTACAATATCACTAAAATGGTTTCGTTTATCATTTGTAAGTTCACACTAAACAAGAACTTAGCATACAATTACCTTGGAAACTTTTACTTCTAAAATAGTTTTAGCTATAGGGAAGAGTTACCTAAATTGTAACAACGTCTTAATGGGAACACTTGCATAAAACACTTAATTAGAAAAATGCATGTGTGCCATTCATTTTAAGCTTTTTTGAGTCTTTTTTTGTTTTCCGTGATCTAATTTTTGTTCACACTATACTCATTGCACAGGGTAAACTATAATAGATTTAAAAATAGATTAAAAATAGTACATTATTTATTGCTTTTTAATAAATAAAATAAGTCATAATTGTTGAAACTTTTTCATAATTTTTTTTTTGTAGAATTTCATTTTGCCACATTAAAAGTTCTATTAAAAGTTAATAGTTTATTCCTATTAAAAGTTCTATTAAAAGTTAATAGTTTATTCCTATTAAAAGTTCTTTTAAAAGTAAATAGTTTATTTCTATTAAAAGTTTTATTAAAAGTTAATAGTTTTTTCCTATTAAAAGTTCTATTAAAAGTTAATATTTTAGTTTGAATTGTTTAAATTGTAATTGTAAAGATAAAAATAATTTTAAATTGATTTTTGTTTATTTCACTGGGTGTTTTTTAAAAGAAAAAACCTGTTCCAATAAAGGAATCAAAGTGTTCCAAGTTAGGAAACCGATTGTCTTGATTGGAACAAAATAGTACCTTTGCAAAAATGAAATTATTTCCAACAACAGTGCAATCAAAAATGCTTTCATAGTTAGGCCATCTTTGGTTATTAAATATTTATTCTTTAAGTGTTCCAATTAAGTCAAATCTCTTTTAAGTTAACAACTTATATTATACAAAAAGTCTGTTAAAGTTTAGCAATAGCTTAAACATTTTTTAAAATACTTTTGTGTACATTAATATTTACTTATTATATAACTGTTTATTATTACATTGATGTATATTAATATTAATCTATCATAATCAAATATTTGAAATACAATTATACCGCTTCTAATATTCTATGATATGCAGATAATACTGATGATACCGCTTCTTGTACATCTATTATATAATTTTTCTGAAGTGTTATATGACAATGTTTTTTGTTTAAACATCATCAAACCTGCTTTATTTACTTTAACACAGAGATTTTCTTTTAATTGTTTTAATCAAATATTCTCCTACTATTTTTTAGATAAAAGTTTACAAATAAATTGATATGAGTTAACAATGTATACTATGTAACAGTAAATTTAGAATATAAGCTTAAACTAATGAAAGAAATTTCCTTACGGTTTCAGAAATATTGATACTGAGTCCCAATCTCTTTTTTGACTGTTTTTGTCAGCACCATTTCTTTTATATGTTAACTGCATAACACAACTAGCTTTAAGTTTTAAAATACTTTTAGGGTCGTCCATAAATTACATCATGCTTAAGAGAGGGGAGGGAAGGGTTAGGCAATTTTGTGACGAATTGTTATGAGGGGGAGGGGGTCTCAATTTTATGATGCAAATTTTTTTTAGAGAAAACATTCTTTTAATTAAAAGAGTATCTAACTAAACCAAAACCCACAGTTGATGTATCTACATGTTGATTGTAAAATCAACTACGCTTAAATCTTACTTATTCGATGTGTACACTCCGTTAACAGAGTAGGTGCAGCCTGTTACGGCTGTATGTTCAGTGCACGTTCTGCGCTTTGAATTTATATAGTTCAAGTGCAAAACTTTATTTAGTTGGTGCACAAAAGTGTGCAACAACAAAAAAATAATCTTTGTGCACTAACTAAAAAAAAATAATTTCGATACCGAAAAGCAAACCTGGGACCCTCAGTTTACCAGCTGGAGTTCAGTGCACGTTCTGCGCTTTGAATTTATATGGTTCAAGTGCAAAACTTTATTTAGTTGGTGCACAAAAGTGTGCAACAACAAAAAAATAATCTTTGTGCACTAACTAAAAAAAAATAATTTCGATACCAAAAAGCAAACCTGGGACCACAAGACCACATTTACGTTGCTAGATGAAAAAAAAGCTTCAAAAACAAAAAAAACTAAACTAACAAAATAAAAACAAATTAAAACTGAAAAAAATAAAAAGAAATTAATTATTTTAATAATTTGTGTACTGTTTTTATTTTTGTTTCTTTAGAGTGGGTGTTACATTCAACAACAAAAAAAAATAAGATGAAGCAAAAAAAAAAAAAAAAAATGTTTAAAGTCTACAATAAAAAAATGATTTTCTTTTTTTTAATTTTTTTTAAGAGGAAAGCAAAATATAAATTGCAATGTTTTTGTAAAATATATTTGTATAATTTAATGTAACAACAAGAGTTGAATTAGGCAAATGCGAAACGCAAAATTTGGAAAAATATCTAATATTCAAAGTTTTAGTTTATGCAAAATGTGTTTCTTGTTTTCAGGGGGCAAATCAACTTAAATTTGTTAGCAAAAATATTATAAAAAATAAAACAATAAACTTACAACTTCAAAAGTAATAACACTCTAATCACTAAATGCATTATAAAAGTAATAACACTATAATAGTGTTATTACTTTTACAACGTACTTTTAATTTTTATAATTCATTCTTAGTTCAAGCAAAATTTTAAATAAAGTAGAGAAGCATCTAGAATGTGGATATTCAAATAATATTTAAAACTTAAGTAACTTATAAAAACATGACAAACAACTTCATAAAATTGTAATGTATAAAAAGTTTAGCATTATGAAAAAGGTTACTAATGGACCATAAAAACGCACATCAATTTTAAAATCAACCAATAAAAATTTTTTATTGGTTGATTTTAAAATTAACGCACGTTTTTTTAAACTTTTAATAAAGTACGCCTTCATAAAGTTGTTTAAGTGATCTGTAAAAGTTCCTAAAATTTTTATTAACATTTGAATATCCGCTTTATTTTTACTAGATGCTTATCTACTCTAATAAATGTTTGGAATTAATAATGTTGTTTGAACAAAGAATGAACTTTAAAAGTAATAAGTGCTTTATAAATGTAATAACAGTTTTATTATCTTTATAATGCAGTTAGTGACTAAAAGTGTTATTACTTTTGTAGTCGTAAGTTTACTGTTTTTGTTTTGTTTTGTGCAACTTTCTTGCAAACAAACTTATAATAACTTGCTACTTAAAAACAAAGTACACAGCTTTGCATAAACTAAAATTTTAAAGACCAGATATTTTTCCAGAGTTTGCAAATCGCGATCATATAATTCAACCCTTGATATATACTTGTTATATTATAGTTATACAAATATATTTTACAAACAGATGATAATAAATATTTTCGCTTTCCTCTTTAAACTAAAACAAATAAATATAGAAAAGTCATTCTTTTTAATGTTTAAAACCAATTTTTTTTTTTGCTTTGACTTACTGAATTTTGTTGCCGAAAATAATAACCACTATGAAAAAATAAAAAACAACACACAAATGAATTAAAATATTATTATTTTCTATTTAAGTTTATTTCTTATTTAGTTATTTTGCTTTCTTTGTTTTTAAAACTTTTTTTCAGCAATGCATATAATAAACTTGCACAAACGGCCGTGAGCAAATTGTCTAAATAAAAATACTCATGCGTGGACATACTAGACAAAAAACCACACAAGTTTCCTGGGAAAACTTGTTGTATGTAATTTACATTATTGTTTAATTGCATGTAATTTACATTTATATTGCATGTATAATTACATTTATAATTGCATGTATAATTACATGTATAATTGCATGTATAATTACATTTTTGCTTGTATAATTATAAAATATATTATTAATATTTATATATTATAAATAATATTTTGCATGTTATATAAATAGAAGAAAAAAATAATTTAAAATTGGTATCATGTTTAGAAGCGCGA